TATACTGCTCTTAGTTGGCGCCCACTGCTTCCTATATACTTCTCTTAGTTGGCGCCCACTGCTTCCTATATACTGCACTTAGTTGGCGCCCCACTGCTTCCTATATACTGCTCTTAGTTGGCGCCCACTGCTTCCTATATACTGCACACTTAGTTGGCGCCCACTGCTTCCTATATACTGCTCTTAGTTGGCGCCCACTGCTTCCTATATACTGCACTTAGTTGGCGCCCACTGCTTCCTATATACTGCACTTAGTTGGGCCCCACTGCTTCCTATATACTGCTCTTAGTTGGCGCCCTCTGCTTCCTATATACTGCTCTTAGTTGGCGCCCTCTGCTTCCTATATACTGCACTTAGTTGGCGCCCTCTGCTTCCTATATACTGCACTTAGTTGGGCGCCCTCTGCTTCCTATATACGGCACTTAGTTGGCGCCCACTGCTTCCTATATACTGCACTTAGTTGGCGCCCTCTGCTTATATACTGCACTTAGTTGGCGCCCTCTGCTTCCTATATACTGCTCTTAGTTGGCGCCCTCTGCTTCCTATATACTGCTCTTAGTTGGGGCCCTCTGCTTCCTATATACTGCGCTTAGTTGGCGCCCACTGCTTCCTATATGCTGCGCTTAGTTGGCGCCCACTGCTTCCTATATACTGCACTTAGTTGGCGCCCTCTGCTTCCTATATACTGCTCTTAGTTGGCGCCCACTGCTTTCTATATACTGCTCTTAGTTGGCGCCCACTGCTTCCTATATACGGCACTTAGTTGGGGCCCTCTGCTTCCTATATACGGCACTTAGTTGGCGCCCTCTGCTTCCTATATACTGCTCTTAGTTGGCGCCCTCTGCTTCCTATATACTGCGCTTAGTTGGCGCCCTCTGCTTCCTATATACTGCACTTAGTTGGCGCCCTCTGCTTCCTATATACTGCACTTAGTTGGCGCCCACTGCTTCCTATATACTGCACTTAGTTGGCGCCCACTGCTTCCTATATACTGCACTTAGTTGGCGCCCTCTGCTTCCTATATACTGCACTTAGTTGGCGCCCTCTGCTTCCTATATACTGCACTTAGTTGGCGCCCTCTGCTTCCTATATACTGCACTTAGTTGGCGCCCTCTGCTTCCTATATACTGCTCTTAGTTGGCGCCCTCTGCTTCCTATATGCTGCACTTAGTTGGCGCCCACTGCTTCCTATATACTGCGCTTAGTTGGCGCCCACTGCTTCCTATATACTGCACTTAGTTGGCGCCCTCTGCTTCCTATATACTGCACTTAGTTGGCGCCCTCTGCTTCCTATATACTGCACTTAGTTGGCGCCCTCTGCTTCCTATATACGGCACGTAGTTGGCGCCCACTGCTTCCTATATACTGCTCTTAGTTGGTGCCCTCTGCTTCCTATATACGGCACTTAGTTGGGGCCCTCTGCTTCCTATATACGGCACTTAGTTGGCGCCCTCTGCTTCCTATATACTGCTCTTAGTTGGCGCCCTCTGCTTCCTATATACTGCTCTTAGTTGGTGCCCTCTGCTTCCTATATACGGCACTTAGTTGGGGCCCTCTGCTTCCTATATACGGCACTTAGTTGGCGCCCTCTGCTTCCTATATACTGCTCTTAGTTGGCGCCCTCTGCTTCCTATATACTGCTCTTAGTTGGCGCCCTCTGCTGTGTGCTTTTATACATTGCAGGCATTACTTTAGTCTCATTGAGGAGCTGCCATTGCTATCTATCTTTGGACCTCTGGATTTTGTTTGTTGAATCCTACACCCCCCCCCCCCCCAGCACATTCACATGTATGATTATGTTGTAGTTTAGCTGTATCCCTACCTGCACCATTCTCAGTAATTCTCTGCGTCACTTTGTTGCTAGCTGTCACACCAACTGGCGGAACAAGATGGCCGCCCCTCCACGCACCGTGGTGTTATTTCCTGTGGGTGGAGGGTGACGCACAGAAGCGGCTCTCCCAGGAATAATATTTATAGAATGCGGATCCGTCTCTTCATTGTGTATACAGAGAGGATTTATCTCCGCCACTTCCCATCTATTATCATTTGCTGGAGAGATGAATGGCACGGATTCCAGGATGTGTGCGCGGCGCGCAGAGGCGCGTGTACCCTCGCAGTGTGCGCACAGATGATGTATTGAGGCCGGGAATCCTATGGGGTTGTAAAGGGTTAAATCCCCTTTCTTTAGGGGTTACTTGCAGACTAGAATGGAGTCCTGCACATGTGTAAAGGGGACCAAGGGAACAGTAATTGTTACATTGTACATCATGTGTCTGCTAGAAGATGATTTCATTCATTCCTACAGACAGCTGATACAAATACCCGAGCCTCCATTGATATACGCTGCACAGCATCACACTGACTGGAAGAGGAAAGAGCAGGGAAACAAACCAAGCAGAAGGGATCGCACTGACTGGAAGAGGGAAGAGCAGGGAAACAAACCATGCAGGAGGGATCGCACTGACTGGAAGAGGGAAGAGCAGGGAAACAAACCAAGCAGGAGGGAGCGCACTGACTGGAAGAGGGAAGAGCAGGGAAACAAACCAAGCAGGCGGGAGCGCACTGACTGGAAGAGGGAAGAGCAGGGAAACAAACCAAGCAGGAGGGATCACACTGACTGGAAGAGGGGTCACAGCAATGTCCAATCAGAAGCTGGGGTGGGTCCTAGACCAGGCCAATGTGATCCGCAGGGGAGGTCCAGGACTGGGCTGTGAGGATCAGTATTCCCAATCGTTTGGCAGTAGAAGAGCTCACATCCGTCTCTCTGGGGTGGTGAATATCCGCACTGCATTTTGTTTGCACAGCTCCTGGTTTCCTTCACTTCCTCCATGTGTACCGGAATGTAGAGTAACCAAAGGCTTTTCCTTCCTTCATTTTCAATAGAGTGAGGGAGAGTTATAACCCGTCAGATTGTCTGCCTTCTGTGCCCCATTGGGGAGATTCCTCACTCACTTCCAGTCCCATTGGGGAGATTCCCCTTCACTTCCAGTCCCATTGGGGAGATTCCCCTTCACTTCCAGTCCCATTGGGGAGATTCCCCTTCACTTCCAGTCCCATTGGGGAGATTCCCCTTCACTTCCAGTCCCATTGGGGAGATTCCCCTTCACTTCCAGTCCCATTGGGGAGATTCCCCTTCACTTCCAGTCCCATTGGGAGATTCCCCTTCACTTCCAGTCCCATTGGGGAGATTCCCCTTCACTTCCAGTCCCATTGGGGAGATTCCCCTTCACTTCCAGTCCCATTGGGGAGATTCCCCTCACTTCCAGTCCCATTGGGGAGATTCCCCTTTACTTCCTGCCCACTGGGGAGATTCCCCTTCACTTCCAGTCCCATTGGGGAGATTCCCCTTCACTTCCTGCCGCATTGGGGAGATTTCTCTTCACTTCCTGCCAACACTGACAGGGTGTCTCACCCCTCCCCCTCCATCCAACACTGACAGGGCGTCTCACCCCTCCCCCTCCATCCAACACTGACTGGGGGTCTCACCCCTCCCCCTCCATCCAACACTGACTGGGGGTCTCACCCCTCCCTCTCCATCCAACACTGACTGGGGGTCTCCCCCCTCCCCCTCCATCCAACACTGACAGGGCGTCTCCCCCCCCTCCATCCAACACTGACAGGGGGTCTCACCCCTCCCCCTCCATCCAACACTGACTGGGGGTCTCACCCCTCCCCCTCCATCCAACACTGACTGGGGGTCTCACCCCTCCCCCTCCATCCAACACTGACTGGGGGGTCTCACTCCTCCCCTCCATCCAACACAACACTGACTGGGGGTCTCCCCCCTCCCCCCCTCCATCCAACACTGACAGGGGGTCTCACCCCTCCCCCTCCATCCAACACTGACTGGGGGTCTCACCCCTCCCCCTCCATCCAACACTATAAATAACGTTTTTCCTCTAGTTGTACTTCAGTTTTTGGGTGAATTGTCAGCAGAGACGTCCCGGCTGTGAAGGGTTAAGGCATTATCTGGGTGCAGCTGGCGGCCTCGTCTCGGGACACACAATGGCGCGGCCCCTCCGCCGCTCTCGGAGCGAATTCTAAATCTGGAGAGAGGCGTCAGCGCTTCATTCATTTCCATCAGATGTCACAGAAAGACCTTGATGAGCAATTTCTAATCACGCAGCTCGTTAATGGCCGCTCTGAAAGGCTTCTGATAGACGCAGCGAAAAAGTCATTAACGAATTGTGTGGCAGCGGGCGCCGTTCCACATGGATTTGTCTCGCTGAACGGCCGCGCGCTGTCTGGGTATCCACGCCCCCCCCCGCCGGGCTACGCGGGGTTAATGGCATGGCCATGTGGATGATCGGGCTCCATCAAAGCCCAAAAATGTTCAGTTGTAGGCAGGGGTGGACTGACCGAGGGCCCGGGGTCAGTAGGGGGCCCCATGAAATGCCCCTGGTACCTTTTTTATAGGCTTTTTTGGGTGTGCTTTGAGTGTGGGCAAAGACACAGAGGCCCCATGATCCCCTATTGCCTGGGGGCCCCACGAGTTGTCAGTCTGCCCCTGGTTGTAGGTGGAGGGTGCCGAGTCACCTACCAAACTGCATAGATCCCGCCCACAATGGGGCGATCCCGCTCTGTACACCTGGATATCCTGCAAGGATTGTGGTATGGTGTCCACGTTTCTTTATATAGCTCTGACATAGTCTGTGGCGTTGTAGGTCTCCCGCAGACTCGGCCCCTCCTCCTGGGATTGTCCGCGTGGGGCTCATTCACTAACCATTGCTCAGTCATTAGTCACGGATGGCGGAATGCTCTGCGCTCATCACGGTCAGCTATTTGCACCTTCCTACTGAATAACCCCCTTTGTTTTTTTCACCGTCCATCTGGTGTGTTCAGTTTTGGGGGGAGAGCTGCATCACTGGAGTTGTCTTTAAATTCTCAGCTCTTCCCTCCTGGGTCCGGTATGAGAGAGTCTCACTCCTACTGCTGCAATGTCCTTTTGCTTCCCACCTGTGGGCTCCGCTCTGACTGATATTTCATGCCTTGTGTCTTGCAGGACCCCCGCAGTAAGCACAAGTTTAAGATTCACACCTACGGGAGCCCCACCTTCTGCGACCACTGCGGATCGCTGCTCTACGGGTTAATACACCAAGGAATGAAAGTGCGAGAGTAAGTACAGGCTGGGGAGGGGTGTGCTGCATCTGGCTCCTCCCTCTCATTTACATAAAGGACTCTGAATCTACCTCCCGCCCCCAAAAAATATACACCACCCTGAATCTAACTCCTCCCCCTGCTTTACATATAGATTTACATTTAGTAATCTGACTCTATCCCTCCCGGTATACATACACTACCCTGGATCTAACTCCTCCCCCTGATTTACATACATTTCTAGTCATGTACAATTTGCTTCGTTATTCGGAGATTCGGTTGTATCCAAATTTCTGAATCACAATAATAATTCACTTCAACGAATCAGAAATACCTTCTAACAAAACAAATGATCTGAACTGGAATTCAAAATGGAAACGCAGCGCAATAAATATAGTGAGGAATCGAAGTGAAATAAAATGATCATTCCTACGTAGAATAAAATGAAATCAAATAGAACAGAATAGACTAGAATAACACACAAAATAGAATGGAAAATAAACGAGTAGAATAGACTGAAACAGACTAGAATAACACAGAATAGAAAAAATAAACGAGTAGAAATAGACTGAAACATAATAGACTAGAATAACACAGAATAGAATGGAAATATAAACGAGTAGAATAGACTGAAACATAATAGACTAGAATAACACAGAATAGAATGGAAAATAAACGAGTAGAATAGACTGAAACATAATAGACTAGAATAGAAAATGTAAATTTCAAAAGAATAGAAGATAAAGGAATTGGAGAGAATGTAATAGAAAATAGAATAGAAAGAACAGAGCTGTCTTCTGAAATTTGAATTTCGAATAGAATAGATTAGAATAGAAAAGAATAAAATAGAATAGAAAGAATATAGCTGTCTTCTAAAATTTTGAATTTCAAATTGATTTGAAAATAATGAATATACGAAACGAATTCCAAAAACGAATAATTCTAACATAACAAATGTGATGAAACAAAATTTTCAGCAAAAAATCCAAAAGAAATTTTTCTGTTGTGCCCATCTCTGTGCATTACTCCGAATTTATCCCTCCCCCTTATTTACATGCAGTGCACTTAATCTGCCTCCTCCCCCTAATTTACATACAGTACTCAAAGCCAGCTCCTCCCCATCATTTACATGCAATACCCTGAATCTAACTCCTCCCCATATTTACATATTGTATTCTGAATCTGCTCCCCCTTTATTTACATACAACACAGTACCACTGTCACCTCCCCCCATTTATTTACTACAGCTCAGTAACTTGCCCCTCCCCTTTGTTTACATACAGCACAGTAACTATGTACCACCTTTGTTTACATACAGAACAGTAACTATGTACCATCTTTGTTTACATACAGCACAATACCATTTCCACAGCCCCTTTGTTTACGTACATCACAGTAGCTATATCTCGTCCCCTTTGTTTACATCACAACAGCACTATCTGTCTTCTTTGTTTACATACAGCACAGTAGCTCTGTCCCCATCCCATTTGTTTACATACATCACAATAGCTCTATGTCATCCCTTTGTTTACATACAGCACAGTAGCTCTGTCCCCATCCCATTTGTTTACACACATCACAATAGCTCTATGTCATCCCTTTGTTTACATACAGCACAGTAGCTCTGTCCCCATCCCATTTGTTTACATACATCACAATAGCTCTATGTCATCCCTTTGTTTACATACAGCACAGTAGCTCTGTCCCCATCCCATTTGTTTACATACATCACAATAGCTCTATGTCATCCCTTTGTTTACATACAGCACAGTAGCTCTGTCCCCATCCCATTTGTTTACACACACATCACAATAGCTCTATGTCATCCCTTTGTTTACATACATCACAGTAGCTCTGTCTCCCGTGTATTTACATGCAGCACAATAACTCTGTCAATCCCTTTGTTTACATACAGCATATTACGTTGTTGTCCTTCCCCATGTCCCCCCCCCCCCCCATCCCGTGATACCAGACTCCACCAATGACTTAATATATATTTGGATGGATTTCTTCATAAAGGGAGCACAGCGGCTAAATGGTTAGCCCTTCCGCCTGGCAGTACCGGGGTCGTTCAAATCCCAACCATGGCGCCACCTGCCTGGAGTTTGCATGTCCTTCCTGTGCCTGCGTGGGTTTCCTCCGGGTACTCCGGTTTACTCCCACACTCCAAAGACATGCTGGCAGGTTAATTGGCTCCTGTCTAAATTGGCCCTAGTATGTGTATGTATGAATGTGAGTTAGGGACCTTAGATTGTACGCTCCTCGGGGGCGGGGCCTGATGAATGTACAATATATATGTAAAGCGCGGAGTACATTGAGGGCGCTATATAAGTACCTGAAATAAATCATAAAGCTGCCATGTGACCTGACTCTGTATATCTCTCCCCCTCCCCCACAGCCCTGTGATATGAATGTACATAAAGTCTGTGTCGTCAACGTGCCCAGTCTATGTGGGATGGACCATACGGAGAAGAGGGGGGCGCATGTTTCTGAAGGCCGAGGTGAAGGGGGACCTCCTCAGTGTCACCGGTAAGAGGCGGAGCTCTTCTTATTGTAATATTACCGCATAATCCGTCCTCCAGGAGAGGAGAGTTATAGAGGAAGGAGAGGAGTCCTCCAGGAGAGGAGAGTTATAGAGGAAGGAGGGAGTCCTCCAGGAGAGGAGAGTTATAGAGGAAGGAGCGGAGTCCTCCAGGAGAGGAGAGTTATAGAGGAAGGAGCGGAGTCCTCCAGGAGAGGGAGCTATAGAGGAAGGAGAGGAGAGTTATAGAGGAGTCGGAGTCCTCCAGGAGAGGGGAGTTATAGAGGAAGGAGCGGAGTCCTCCAGGAGGGAGAGCTATAGAGGAAGGAGCGGAGCCCTCCAGGAGAGGAGAGTTATAGAGGAAGGAAGCGGAGTCCCCCAGGAGAGGAGAGTTATAGAGGAAGGAGCGGAGTCCCCAGGAGAGGAGAGAGTATAGAGGAAGGAGCGGAGTCCCCCAGGAGAGGAGTTATAGAGGAAGAGCGGAGTCCTCCAGGAGAGGAGAGTTATAGAGGAAGGAGCGGAGTCCTCCAGGAGAGGAGAGCTATAGAGGAAGGAGCGGAGTCCTCCAGGAGAGGAGAGCTATAGAGGAAGGAGCGGAGTCCTCCAGGAGAGGAGAGTTATAGAGGAAGGAGCGGAGTCCTCCAGGAGAGGAGAGCTATAGAGGAAGGAGCGGAGTCCTCCAGGAGAGGAGAGCTATAGAGGAAGGAGCGGAGTCCTCCAGGAGAGGAGAGCTATAGAGGAAGGAGCGGAGTCCTCCAGGAGAGGAGAGTTATAGAGGAAGGAGCGGAGTCCTCCAGGAGAGGAGAGTTATAGAGGAAGGAGCGGAGTCCTCCAGGAGAGGAGAGTTATAGAGGAAGGAGCGGAGTCCTCCAGGAGAGGAGAGTTATTATAGAGGAGGAAGTTATAGAGGAAGGAGCGGAGTCCTCCAGAGAGGGAGTTTATAGAGGAAGGAGCGGAGTCCTCCAGGAGAGGAGAGAGTTATAGAGGAAGGAAGGGAGCGGAGTCCTCCAGGAGAGGAGAGTTATAGAGGAAGGAGCGGAGTCCTCCAGGAGAGGAGAGTTAGAGGAAGGAGCGGAGTCCTCCAGGAGAGGAGAGTTATAGAGGAAGGAGCGGAGTCCTCCAGAGAGGAGAGAGTTTTAGAGGAAGGAGCGGAGTCCTCCAGGAGAGGAGAGTTATAGAGGAAGGAGCGGAGTCCTCCAGGAGAGGAGAGTTATAGAGGAAGGAGCGGAGTCCTCCGGAGAGGAGAGTTATAGAGGAGGGAGAGGAGAGTTATAGAGGAAGGAGCGGAGTCCTCCAGGAGAGGAGAGTTATAGAGGAAGGAGCGGAGTCCTCCAGGAGAGGAGAGTTATAGAGGAAGGAGCGGAGTCCTCCAGGAGAGGAGAGTTATAGAGGAAGGAGCGGAGTCCTCCAGGAGAGGGAGAGTTATAGAGGAAGGAGCGGAGTCCTCCAGGAGAGGAGAGTTATAGAGGGAAGGAGCGGAGTCCTCCGGAGGGAGAGAGGAAGGAGCGGAGTTATAGAGAGATAGAGAAGCGGAGTCCTCCGGGGAGAGGAGAGTTATAGAGGAAGGAGCGGAGAGTCCTCCGGGAGAGAGGAGAGTTATTATAGAGGAAGGAGCGGAGTCCTCCGGGAGTATAGAGGAGAGTTAGTCCTAGAGGAGAGGAGCGGAGTCCTCCGGGAGAGGAGAGTTATAGAGGAAGGAGCGGAGTCCTCCGGGAGAGGAGAGTTATAGAGTCCTAAGGGAGTCCTCCGGGAGAGTTATAGAGGAAGGAGCGGAGTCCTCCGGGAGAGGAGAGCTATAGAGGAAGGAGCGGAGTCCTCCGGGAGAGGAGAGAGCTAGAGGAGAGTCAGAGGAAGGAGCGGAGTCCTCCGGGAGAGGAGAGTTATAGAGGAAGGAGCGGAGTCCCGGGAGAGGAGAGCTATAGAGGAAGGAGCGGAGTCCTCCGGGAGAGGAGAGCTATAGAGGAAGGAGCGGAGTCCTCCGGGAGAGGAGAGTCATAGAGGAAGGAGCGGAGTCCTCCAGGAGAGGAGAGTCATAGAGGAAGGAGCGGAGTCCTCCAGGAGAGGAGAGTTATAGAGGAAGGAGCGGAGTCCTCCAGGAGAGGAGAGTCATAGAGGAAGGAGCGGAGTCCTCCAGCAGAGCAGAGGACAGGAGTAGGTGGAGAGAATCCTCTGATCTTCCCTCCATCCAGCAGGCGCACAGTGAATGTTCTCCAGGATGAATTGATATGGAATGCTCAGACCCCTGCTGGCTGTAATGAGTCCTGCTGGGGGTGAAATGATTATGGTCCCTGGCTGGGACTCCTCCTGCCGTCGGCTGGTTAGTGCTGTAGTACACAAAGTTGTGCCGTTGTTCCTCCGCTGTGCCGTCACTCTTCCCTCCCTCATGGCTGAGCCCGTGTCTCCCTCCTCTCCTCCTGCATGATGAATGACGTGGATGATCCAGCGGGAGGAGTCAGGGGTGGTTCTCAGCACTTTGGGGATTTGGACGTAGCCGGGGGATGGTCACAATATCTACGGGGCGATTTTCCTCCACCTTCCTCCCGGCCTGTCATCACTAGGAGTGGAGGAGCTGCGGCTGCTTTTCTTTTATTTACCATTTTTGTTTTTCTTTATCCTTTCTTTTTAAGCAATCTGTGTGCTGCAGCGCCCCCCTCTGGCAGGGTCCGTGTTGTGCACCCTCCAGTCTCCAGGTGGCGGAGGTCCCTATGTGACATTCCGGCACACAGCCAATAGGAGGGATGAAGGGCTCAGGGAGGCGCCCTCCACCCATCATTGCAGAGTAAATAGGACGATTATTTGTGGAGATTACAGGCCCAGCGATATCACAGGACACTATTTACTAAAGGATGTCCCCGCTGAGCTGAGCGGTGTGCACACCCGGGACAGGAGGGTTCAGGGTCACACAGGTCAAATCAATAACCGGCGCAATCAACTGCCAATCAACTGCCAATGTGCAGCAGCTGGAAGAGGCTCCTCCTTGTACAAATATGTGCTGAGGATTGCTGGAAGGCCGGCGCCAGCTGTGCACCTGTCCCTCTGCGGCCTCACCTGTGTAGTCTGATGTCCCCTTATCTGCTGTGTTCACAGCACTGCCGTAAAGTAGCCGTGTGCTGGCCTGCCTCTCCACAATTCCTACTTGCAGACTGCTAAACAGCAAATATAGCGGGGTCCCCAAACTGGAAACAAAGGGCCACTTTACTGACCTTCAACCTTTTTGAGGGGCTGGACTGCGGCCAGCGAGGGTAGTAAATGCTGTAGGCTTGGTGGTCAGTGGGAGCAAAAAAATTACACCAGTGTCAGCGGGAGGAATAGTGCCCCATCATTGGTGTCACTGGGAGGAATAGTCACCATCATTGGTATCAGTGGGAGGAATAGTCACCATCATTGGTGTCAGCGGGAGGAATAGTGCCCCATCAATTGGTATCAGTGGGAGGAATAGTGCCCCCATCATTGGTGGGTCAGTGGGAGGAATAGTGTCCCATCATTGGTATCAGTGGGAGGAATAGTGTCCCATCATTGGTGTCAGTGGGAGGAATAGTGTGTCCCATCATTGGTGTCAGTGGAAGAAATAGTTCTCCATTGTTGGTGTCAGTGGGAGGAATAGTGCCCCATCATTGGTGTCAGTGGGAGGAATAGTGCCCCATCATTGGTGTCAGTGGGAGGAATAGTGCCCCCATCATTGGTATCAGTGGGAGGAATGGTGTCCCATCATTGGTGTCAGTGGGAGGAATAGTGCCCCATCATTGGTATCAGTGGAGGAATAGTGCCCCATCATTGGTATCAGTGGGAGGAATAGTGTCCCCATCATTGGTGTCAGTGGGAGGAATAGTGCCCCATCATTGGTATCAGTGGGAGGAATGGTGTCCCATCATTTGGTGTCATTGGGAGGAATAGTTCTCCCATTGTTGGTGTCAGTGGGGGAATAGTGCCCCATCATTGGTGTCAGTGGGAGGAATAGTGCCCCATCATTGGTGTCAGTGGGAGGAATAGTGCCCCATCATTGGTATCAGTGGGAGGAATGGTGTCCCATCATTGGTGTCAGTGGGAGGAATAGTGCCCCATCATTGGTATCAGTGGGAGGAATAGTGCCCCATCATTGGTATCAGTGGGAGGAATAGTGCCCCATCATTGGTATCAGTGGAGGAATAGTGTCCCATCATTGGTGTCAGGGAGGAATAGTGCCCCATCATTGGTATCAGTGGAGGAATAGTGCCCCCATCATTGGTATCAGGGAGGAATAGTGCCCCATCATTGGTGTCAGTGGGAATAGTGCCCCATCATTGGTATCAGTGGGAGGAATAGTGTCCCCATCATTGGTGTCAGTGGGAGAATAGTGCCCCATCATTGGTGTCAGTGGGAGGAATAGTGCCCCATCATTGGTATCAGTGGGAGAATGGTGTCCCATCATTGGTGTCAGTGGGAGGAATAGTGCCCCATCATTGGTATCAGTGGAGGAATAGTGCCTCATCATGGTATCAGTGGGAGAATATAGTGCCCCATCATTGGTGTCAGTGGGAGGAATAGTGCCCCATCATTGGTGTCAATGGAGGAATAGTGCCCCATCATTGGTGTCAGTGGGAGGAATAGTGCCCCATCATTGGTGTCCGTGGGAGGAATAGTGCCTCATCATTGGTTATCAGTGGGAGGAATAGTGCCCCATCATTGGTGTCAGTGGGAGGAATAGTGCCCCATCATTGGTGTCAATGGAGGAATAGTGCCCCATCATTGGTGTCAGTGGGAGGAATAGTGCCCCATCATTGGTGTCAGTGGGAGAATAGTGCCCCATCATTGGTGTCAGTGGGAGGAATAGTGCCCCATCATTGGTGTCAGTGGGAGGAATAGTGCCCCATCATTGGTGTCAGTGGGAGAATAGCGCCCCATCATTGGTGTCAATGGAGGAATAGCGCCCCATCATTGTGTCAATGGAGGAATAGTGCCCCATCATTGGTGTCAGTGGGAGGAATAGTGCCTTATCATTGGTATCAGTGGAAGGAATAGTGCCCCATCATTGGTGAGTCAGTGGAAGGAATAGTGCCCCATCATTGGTATCAGCTGGGAGAATAGTGTCCCATCATTGGTGTCAGTGGGAGGAATAGTGCCCCATCATTGGTGTCATGGGAGGAATAGTGCCCCCATCATTGGTGTCAGTGGAGAATAGTGCCCCATAATTGGTGTCAGTGGAAGGAATAGTGCCCCGTCATTGGTATCAGTGGGAGGAATAGTGCCCCATCATTGGTATCAGTGGAGGAATAGTGCCCCATCATTGGTGTCAGTGGGAGGAATAGCGCCCCATCATTGTATCAGTGGGAGGAATAGTGTCCCATCATTGGTGTCAGTGGGAGGAATAGTGCCCCATCATTGGTGTCAGTGGAGGAATAGTGCCCCATCATTGGTGTCAGTGGAGGAATAGTGCCCCATAATTGGTGTCAGTGGAAGGAATAGTGCCCCCGTCATTGGTATCAGTGGGAGGAACGTTGTATAGTGCCCCATCATTGTATCAGTGGGAGGAATAGTGCCCCATCATTGGTGTCAGTGGAGGAATAGTGCCCCATCATTGGTATCAGTGGGAGGAATAGTGCCCCCATCATTGGTGTCAGTGGGAGGAATAGTGCCCCATCATTGGTGTCAGTGGGAGGAATAGCGCCCCATCATTGGGTATTAGTGGGAGGAATAGTGTCCCATCATTGGTGTCAGTGGAGGAATAGTGCCCCATCATTGGTTGTCAGTGGAGGAATAGTGCCCCATCATTGGTATCAATGGAGGAATGGTGTCCCATCATTGGTGTCAGTGGGAGGAATAGTGCCCCATCATTGGTGTCAGTGGGAGGAATAGTGCCCCATCATTGGTGTCAGTGGGAGGAATAGTGCCCCATCATTGGTGTCAGTGGGAGGAATAGTGCCCCATCATTGGTGTCAATGGAAGAATAGCGCCGCCCCATCATTGTAGTGACATGGGAGGAATAGTGCCCCATCATTGGTGTCAAGTGGGAGGAATAGTGCCTTATCATTGGTGTTAGTAGTAGAGAAATAGTGCCCCATCATTGGTGTCAGCGGAGGAATAGTGCCCCAACATTGGTGTCAGTGGGAGGAATAGTGCTCCATCATTGGTTTCAGTGGAGGAATAGTGCCCCATCATTGGTGTCAGTGGGAGGAATAGTGCCCCATCATTGGTGTCAGTGGGAGGAATAGTGCCCCATCATTGGTATCAGTGGGAGGAATAGTGCCCCACATCATGGTGTCAGTGGGAGGAATAGTGCCCCATCATTTGGTGTCAGTGGGAAGAATTAGTGCCACCATCATTAGTGTCAGTGGGAGGAATAGTGCCCCATCATTGGTGTCAGTGGGAGGGATAGTGCCCCATCATTGGTGTCAGTGGGAGGGATAGTGCCCATCATTGGTGTCAGTGAAAGGGATGGCACCCCAAGGGTCAGATAGAGGCAAGTGAAGGGCCCCCTTGGGCAGCAGTGAATGGAGACCCCTGAATATAAGTAGTTGCAGTAGCTCCGGCCTCCAGTATTCTTCCTCCATGTTTGGATGCTCACTCTCCCCGTCTGATGTGCCACAAGCCGCTTTACTCAGGAACCCAGAGCAGCCAATCAGAGATCTGAGGACTTCACTGTCATCAGCGTCATAGGAGGAGAATCTTCCTGACACACAGGATGCCAAGTGACCACCTGAAATGACCCCCCCTTCAGTGTGACACCATAGACCATCCATGGTACCCAACAGGAGATACATTGTATCAGTGGATTGATGATCCCAGTCCATGTGACAACATTGCCCCCCCCGATGGTGGACAACTGGAACTGTCACAGAGAACAGTGCATTCAGGTCACATCAGTGAGGGGGTCTAAAATCATAGAGTTTGTTCCTTTTCATCTCATTTCACCGTTCACATGTCATAAATGGGAGAGTTGTCGTATCCATACAAAGAAAGTGCAACGAATGAAACTGAAAAACGGGCTGAACACCATAAACCTGGATTGTCTGCACAGAGGAATATCTTCCTTGAAGAGGATCAGTGGGGGACCGTCTCCTGTACTGTGTCTGCAGTCTCTGGTCATCCCCTGTACTGTGTCCGCAGTCTCTGGTCATCCCTGTACTGTGTCCGCAGTCTCTGTCATCTCCTGTACTGTGTCTGCAGTCTGTGGTCATCTCCCTGTACTGTGTCCGCAGTCTCTGGTCATCTCCTGTACTGTGTCCGCAGTCCTGGTCATCCCCTGTACTGTGTCTGCAGTCTCTGGTCATCTCCTGTACTGTGTCCGCAGTCTCTGGTCATCTCCTGTACTATGTCCGCAGTCTCTGGTCATCTCCTGTACTGTGTCCGCAGTCTCCGGTCATCCCCTGTACTGTGTGTCTGCAGTCTCTGGTCATCTCCTGTACTGTGTCCGCAGTCTCTGTCATCTCCTGTACTGTGTCCGCAGTCTCTGATCTCCTGTAACTATGTCTGCAGTCTCTGGTCATCTCCTGTACTGTGTCCGCAGTCTCTGGTCATCTCCTGTACTGTGTCCGCAGTCTCCGGTCATCCCCTGTACTGTGTCTGCAGTCTCCTGTATCTCCTGTACCGTGTCCGCAGTCTCTGGTCATCTCCTGTACTGTGTCCGCAGTCTCTGGACATCCCCTGTACCGTGTCCGCAGTCTCTGGTCATCTCCTGTACTGTGTCCCGCAGTCTCTGTCATCTCCTGTACGTGTCCGCAGTCTCTGGTCATCTCCTGTACCGTGTCCGCATCTCTGGTCATCTCCTGTACCGTGTCCGCAGTCTCTGGTCATCTCCTGTACCGTGTCCGCAGTCTCTGGTCATCTCCTGTACCGTGTCCGCAGTCTCTGGTCATCTCCTGTACCGTGTCTCCGTGCAGTCTCTGACCATTTCCTGTACTGTGTCCGCAGTCTCTGTCATCTCCTGTACTGTGTCCCCGCAGTCTCTGGTCATCTCCTGTACTGTGTCCGCAGTCTCCGGTCATCCCCTGTACTGTGTCTGCAGTCTCTGGTCATCTCCTGTACTGTGTCTGCAGTCTCCTAGTCATCTCCTGTACTGTGTCCGCAGTCTCTGGTCTCTCCTGTACTGTGTCCGCAGTCTCTGATCTCCTGTACTATGTCTGCAGTCTCTGGTCATCTCCTGTACTGTGTCCGCAGTCTCTGGTCATCTCCTGTACTGTGTCCCGCAGTCTCCGGTCATCCCCCCTGTACTGTGTCTGCATCTCACTGGTCATCTCCTGTACCGTGTCCGCAGTCTCTGGTCATCTCCTGTACTGTGTCCGCAGTCTCTGGTCATCCCCTGTACCGTGTCCGCAGTCTCTGGTCATCTCCTGTACCGTGTCCGCAGTCTCTGGTCATCTCCTGTACCGTGTCCCGCAGTCTCTGGGTCATCTCCTGTACCGTGTCCGCAGTCTCTGGTCATCTCCTGTACCGTGTCCGCAGTCTCTGGTCATCTCCTGTACCGTGTCCGCAGTCTCTGGTCATCTCCTGTACCGTGTCCGCAGTCTCTGGTCATCTCCTGTACTGTGTCCGCAGTCTCTGGTCATCTCCTGTACCGTGTCCCGCAGTCTCTGGTCATCTCCTGTACCGTGTCCGCAGTCTTGGGTCATCTCCTGTACCGTGTCCGCAGTCTCTGGTCATCTCCTGTACCGTGTCCGCAGTCTCTGGTCATCTCCTGTACCGTGTCTGCAGTCTCTGGTCATCTCCTGTACTGTGTCCGCAGTCTCTGGTCATCTCCTGTACTATGTCCGCAGTCTCTGGTCATCTCCTGTACTGTGTCCGCAGTCTCTGGTCATCTCCTGTACTGTGTCCGCAGTCTCTGGTCATCTCCTGTACTATGTCCGCAGTCTCTGGTCATCTCCTGTACTATGTCTGCAGTCTCTGGTCATCTCCTGTACTATGTCTGCAGTCTCTGGTCATCTCCTGTACTATGTCTGCAGTCTCTGGTCATCCTCCTGTACTGTGTCCTGCAGTCTCTGGTCATTCCCTGTACTGTGTCTGCAGTCTCTGGTCATCTCCTGTACTGTGTCCGCAGTCTCTGGTCATCTCCTGTACTATGTCTGCAGTCTCTGGGTCATCCCTGTACTATGTCTGCAGTCTCTGGTCATCTCCTGTACTGTGTCTGCAGTCTCTGGTCATCTCCTGTACTGTGTCCGCAGAGTCTCTGGTCATCTCCTGTACTGTGTCCGCAGTCTCTGGTCATCTCCTGTACTGTGTCCCATTCTCTGGTCATCTCCTGTACTGTGTCCGCAGTCCTCTGGTCATCTCCTGTACTGTGTCCGCAGTCTCTGACCGTCTCCTGTGTCATGGGTGTTGGAGATGTCAGCTTCCATCCTCTGACGGCTCTGAGTGACTCTCCATGGTGGGTGTACACTGGGCTGGACGGGGTGATATGTGCGCTGGAAGCTGACTCTCTCCACTAATCACAGCTTTTCTGATTCCAATAAATAATGTATCAGCTGCTGGAGGCAGATAGTGGGGGGATGGGGTCCGCTCCTGGGGGTGCGGGCGGGGAGAATCATACAGACCCCCCAGATAAATCCACTCTCATTGACGGCAAATCACTTCCTATGCCGGGACGACGCCTTTTGTTTGCTGCTATCCCTCGTTTCCATGGTGACCAGACTGGAAGATTTATTCCAATGGAAGTTATTTCCTGTTCATGATTTACCCAAATCCTCCCCGACCGATTCTCGGTATCTGTCCTGACTCTGCACAGTCCCACCTCTCCTGTCCCCGGATGCCGGGTGTCATTCTCGGTATCTGTCCTTCTTCTGTATGTATGGACTCTGCACAGTCCCACTTCTCCTGTCCCGGATGCCGGTGTCATTTCTCGGTATCTGTCCCTATTCTGTATGTATGGACTCTGCACAGTCCCACTACTTCTCCTTTCCCGGATGCCGGGTGTCATTCTCGGTATCTGTCCCTATTCTGTATGTATGGATATTTTTATTTGTATAAACAAACAAATTACAAGGTAACAAAACTGTAACCATCATCATAAAAAAACACATAAACCAACAATGTAACAACTGCCTACATCTTCACGACAGAAAGTCAACAAATTAAACTAATGAAAGTTTCTGCATAGAATTTGATGCTGTAAATAAATTCCTCCCATTTTATATTCCTTTCGGCTCTAAACTCTTTTTATATAAATCGGAATCTGAGTCACTCCGCCGACTACCAGTTTCCATATCGGATTCTACAAATACGGGAGCCGGGGGCGGGCACTTCTTAGTGGCGGGTCCTCCCCTGAACTAGCTGCAGATTCCCTTTCTACTTCTTCCTCCATTTGGTCCTCTAGATCACAGGAGTCGGCATCTGACTCTGAGAGGACGTCATACTGGTTGCCGACTGCCATACTACCTTCTGGCACCCTTCTCACCTTCTTAGCGGATTTCTGCACTCGGTCCATTCACTTTCAGGTTTACGGGTGGCCTTGTCCTTCCTATTTCCTTCTCTTTCTGCCTGGGAATGTTCTCCACAAGGCAGGAACTGAAACGGATGGGATGCCACAGATGGCCGCTGCTCCTCAGTCTGCTGAACACTGCCCTCCTGCCCAGGCTGGCCCCTTGGACTTTCTGTTTACCTCCCCCTCAGGTTTGATATGACCCCATTCATTAAGGCTTTTCCTCCTCCAGTGTTCTGCTACCACCAAAAATTTTCTCATCCACTGATTCCTCATCCCTATTGTGGAAAGCCACCGGCAATCTCAGTGTAAATGGCCCAAGCCTACCACATAGAATTGCACTTGATGTTCTCACAGGTAGAGACTGACATTGCCGACCTCGGCCCACACACATTAACACTTCATGATAGAGCAGACACTCGCCACAATGACCCGACTTACCGCATTTGAAACATAGCCGGGCTGACCTGCATAGAAGCAAACTCCAAACCCCTCTCCCGCCCAATGAAGAAGGAGTTTGGAAGGTGATGGTGACATTGTTACTCTCCTGCAGCTTGACAAGAACCCTCCAACCTCCAGTCCAGATCCCATCACGTCCCCGTCAGTTTTTGGTCAGATCAAGACCATCTCACAATGCCTTCTGAGCCAGACTAGACAATATCCTGGGGGCACAGACTCCATTAGTCCAGAAAAATGATGTTCACGTTTGCTGTGTCAGGTTTGGAGATGGGGATGAGTGAAAATCTTCCACCCTTCTTTATCCCGAAACCCACTAAAGCCGCCCAGAACCTGTCCAAGCCAGACATGAGCTTGAAGCTGACATTCATACCCCCGTCTGTCATGGAGGTTGATGACTGCCAAAATATCTGCGGGCACAAACCCCATCTGCTGACACAGCAACTCCCTAACTACAAACCTCCTTTCAGGGAGCTCTTCTCTGGAACCTCTAATGCTTCAACCTGGACCACGTTCCACCTCTTGAAGGCCAGACCAGTATAACCGGCATTGTTGGAAAAAGAAAGGAGCCCCACGGCTCCAGGCATTCCGAGGAGGGACATGGCCAGATGGACCACTATTCCCTTGTGATGCAGGTGGGCGACTCAACCAAAGGGGGGAAATCACGGGTGAGTTATCCTGAACTTTGACTCCTCCATCGCCACATTCACAGGTCCTCAGATTGGTCCTGACCCCATCCAGACATACCTACCTCAGTGTTAATGACATCAGAAAGCCCTACATCAATATTATGAGATATCACACTGGCCACATCACCACTAGCATCAGAGCAGCTTCATCTGCATAATTATCAACCTACCCCATCCCGAACACCAGTCCCCTCAGCATTTGGTCCCACCATGAGAACCGGGGGTAGCCAACACCGTCCTCAAGTCCATGTGCTGGAGTCCGATGTCGCTTCTCTGGGTTTTCCTGCACTATGAAAGTCTGCTGGGTGAAGCGACCTACCCACCTATCCTCCAGAGCTGGAGTCTGTCTTTCAGTGAAGCACATTTGCTGGTATTGCGATGCACTTGGATCAGTTCCCCGGAGTCCGACTCTGAAGAAGACTCCATCTTTACACTTAATTGATGACCCAATCCCAATCACAATCCCGATACAAACTCCCCCCCTGTCCCAGTTCTTCCAGAACAGCATCAATGTTCCTCGATATGCCGGCCAGTTCAATGCCCAGCAGGAGTTAAGCTCGCTGTTCATGTAGGACTATCATTCCCGGGTCGGCAGCCTTGAGTCTGTAGATGGAGTCAATCCTTTTCATCTGGTCGAAGCCTTAGCTTTCCTCAAGGTCTTCATTCGCTCTTCTCCATAGCAGAAATCCTGTCAGCCAGGCGCAGCACAGGTGACTTTAACAAAAAAAAAAAATTAAAAAAAATATAAAAAAAAAACACTTTCTGCTTCCTATCCGCGGGAACGCTGAAATTCTGATCCCCATCACGGTACTGGGTGAAGGGGGGGTCTCTGCTGATGTAGAAGGACTCTCCGGCCAGACTGTGAGGCTTATTGGCTCCAACATCTTTCCTCTTCTGCCGGACCTGGGGCGTAATGAGCGTTCCTGCCAGTGCCCACCATTACACACTGCTGTAAGTTCTCCTTCAGAGTTTTCTGCTCCAACGTAGTCCTTGCAGACCTGCGCGGAGTACTGGGAGTGACAGTTTGTCTCTAGCTCCACTCTGAACTGTATGGGCCCCGCTCTGAACGGCCTGTGCTGGGCTCTGTGCGGCATGGGCTCCACTCTCTGGGCTTGCTTTGTTTGCAATGGCTGACTGCCTTTTGTTGCTACTCCAGAGCTGGTAGTGTGCTGGGTGACAGTGTCACTTTCCTGTGCCATATGGACTGTGTGATCACCACTCTGCACGGCATGGACTTTGCACGTATGGCATGGGCTCAACTCTGCTGGACTTGCTTTTGTTGCAATGACTGACTGCCTTGATTTACAGTCCAGAACTCGAAGCATGCCGGTGTGACAACCTACATTCCTGAGCTGTCATGGAACTGTATGGTTCCGCTCTGCACAGCATGGGCCCCACTCTGCTGGGCTTGTGGTGCCTGTAATGGCTGACCGCATGGAGTTAGACCCCCATGACTTGGAACTGTGGCAGGGTGACAACATTACATTGCTGTTTAAACAGAATATGACTGAGCTCTGCTCTGCCTGGGGTCTTGCTGCGACTGTAATGCTGACTGCCTTGGGTTGCACTTCCAAGCTTGGAGTGCGCGTGGTGACAACATTCACATTGCTGTTTTAGGCTGAACTGGATGGGCCCCCGCTCTGCACGACATGGCCCCCGCTCTGCACCCGTCATGGTTATTGCTATGCCTGGGCTTGCGGTGCCTGTAATGGTGGACTGCCCGGAGTTGGACCTCCAAGGCTTTTGGACTAGGCTGGGTAACAACATCACATTGCTGGACAGACTGAACTTTCCTCTGCTTATGGCTTGTTGTGCCTGTAATGGCGGACTGCCTTGGTTGCTCCCACCAGAACTTGGAGTTTTGCTTTGGTGACAGCCTTACATTGCTGTTTAGACTGAAACTAGATGGGGCCCCGCTCTGCCAACGGCATGGGGCTCCTCTCTGCACGGCTTGGGCCTGCTGTGGCTGCAATGGCTGACTGCCTTGAGCTGCTCCTCCAGAGCTGGGAGTTTGCTTTGGTGACAACATTACATTGCTGTATGACTGAACTGACTGGGCCCTTCTTCTGCTGAGCTTGCTGTGGCTGCAATGGCGGACTGCCATGTGCTGCACTTCCAGAACTGACGATTTTGCTGAGAGACATTCTCACAGTGCGGACTGACTTCATCTTCTCTGTATTACCAGAACTTCTCACACTGACAGTTTTCCATCACTCAACATTCCCCACATCTACTCACAGTCTCTGGCCATTTGCTTTCCATTCACTGAACTCTCGTCCTCTACCGCTTCACCACCAACCACAGCTTCACCTCCATGAGCAGGCCGAGAACCTGGGACTCTCCTTGGAGGCGTCCCAGCCCAGGGCAGGCCCAACCCCTGGCTTGTATCAGACATCAGAGAGGTCAGCACCACACAGCCCTGCAGCTGCTCCACAGGAAACCACACCTCTGCAACAGTCCCACTTCTCCTGTCCTGGATGCCGGGAGTCATTCTCGGTATCTGTCCCCATTCTGTATGTATGGAACTCTGCACAGTCCCACTCCTCCTGTCCCGGATGCCGGGTGTCATTCTTGGTATCTGTCCCCATTCTGTAGTATGGACTTCTGCACAGTCCCACTGTCCTCCTTCCCTGGATGCCGGGGGTGTCATTCTTGGAGTATCTGTCCCCATTCTGTATGTATGGACTCTGCACAGTCCCACTCCTGTCCTGGATGCCGGGGTGTCATTCTGTCATTTGTATGTATGGACGGTATCTGTTGGATGCCTCATTCTGGGTCACTTAGACCTGCAGAGGAGTTGATGTCTCCAGTTGGGTTGATGATGGGGAGGCAGGAAAGTTGTACTGAGGAGGTCTCATTAATGAACAGTGACGGTTGGGTGGCCTCTCTGCTGCCTCTTAATTGCTCCTAATTCCGACGTTGTGGATCGCAGGGGAATTAATTGCTGTGAAATGAGATCCGGGATTGGGTGTCGGGTCGGAGGAGTCGCCGTCACGGTTGTCGGATGAGATTACCACAGCTCCCCTGACAACGTCTTCACAAAGGCATTCTGATACAAAGTTACAATGTACAGTCTGATCACTGGGGGGAGGGATACTGAGAAATGCCTCCTCCTCCTTCTACAAAGGAGAGTAATTTAGAATCTTTTCACTTGGAAATGGTAATCAGACTGAGGCTCCTCAGGATTGGTTCTCTTATTAGCTGTCTTACATCACAGCAGAAATAACCAGGTAAAGCTCATTAAAGGATAAATAAGAAAACCAGCTTTGATATTCACCTTGAGTCCAGAGATTCCCCCAGCCTGTCATCCCGGACCAGCCCCCAGCCTGTCATCCCGGACCAGCCCCCAGCCTGTCATCCCGGACCAGCCCCCTAGCCTGTCATCCCGTACCAGCCCCCTAGCCTGTCATCCCGTACCAGCCCCTAGCCTGTCATCCCGGACCAGCCCCTAGCCTGTCATCCCGGACCAGCCCCCAGCCTGTCATCCCGGACCTGCCCCCAGCCTGTCATCCCGGACCAGCCCCCAGCCTGTCATCCCGGACCAGCCCCCAGCCTGTCATCCCGGACCTGCCCCCCCAGCCTGTCATCCCGGACCAGCCCCCAGCCTGTCATCCCGGACCAGCCCCCAGCCTGTCATCCCGGACCAGCCCCCAGCCTGTCATCCCCGGACCAGCCCCCAGCCTGTCATCCCGGACCAGCCCCCAGCCTGTCATCCCGGACCAGCCCCCAGCCTGTCATCCCGGACCAGCCCCCAGCCTGTCATCCCGGACCAGCCCCCAGCCTGTCATCCCGGACCCGCCCCCAGCCTGTCATCCCGGACCAGCCCCCAGCCTGTCATCCCGGACCCGCCCCCAGCCTGTCATCCCGGACCCGCCCCCAGCCTGTCATCCCGGACCCGCCCCCAGCCTGTCATCCCGGACCCGCCCCCAGCCTGTCATCCCGGACCCGCCCCCAGCCTGTCATCCCGGACCCCCCCCCAGCCTGTCATCCCGGACCCCGCCCCCAGCCTGTCATCCCGGACCAGCCCCTAGCCTGTGACTGAACACTGAAAGGAGAAGCAGCACATTTGTTCTGATTGCTCTCTTGTCCTCGCAGTTGTGGTCTGGTAACTCCTGCCGTCATCTAGTACTTTGAACTTTAAAGGTCAGCAAAATTAACAAATGCCCAAAAACTTAGCAGAGCAAAATAATTATATTTTTGAACCTGAAAACCCAACACAATGGTGACCATATACCATTCACTGCTCCCCTCCCCCCCTCCGACACCAAACTAACCCCAGAATGTGTTTCTGTGTACAACATCATTTATTTGGCTACTTCTATAAAAGCTCTTTTAATGTGTATATATATATATATATATATATATACATTTGTCAGTGCGGACGTGCTGCTGCTGTCATAGGGGTTGCTGGTAAGCGGTTTGTCTTCAATGCAAGAGGGGCGTAACCAGGACAAGAGGAATGAGGCCCGCCTCTGATCACTCAGCTGTGCGTGTAATCTGAACTTTGCTATTCAGCTCTTTAACCACTTCCGACCCGGCCTGTTGTAAAATGACAGCTGGGCGGGACTTTCATTGTTGTGGGTAGACGTCATATGACGTCCTCCCGTAATGCAGCTGTGATCTCTCAGCAGCTGTGGGGGCTTCAGGAATGGATGCCAATATATTTACTTAAAGGGGGTTTCCACTTAAAACAGATGACCTTCCATTACTCCCATCCGCCTTCTGTTCCTGTGTATAATGTCATAGGACCCTCTCGGCTCTGCCAGTGGCGGGGGAGGGGGAGGATCATCTGCATCAATACCACTTTTGTTTTGGTTTTGTTTTTCTTAAACCATATGTAACGTTCTCTATATACAATGTAACGTTTTATTACTTCACTGTCTGTATACCAGTCACAGGTGACAATGCACAGAGATTGGGTTCTTCACTAATTCTTTTACTTTGCAGTCCGTGACGCCAAGAACCTCATCCCCATGGACCCCAATGGACTGTCTGATCCCTACGTCAAACTGAAACTAATCCCCGACCCCAAGAATGAGAGCAAACAGAAAACCAAAACCATCCGCTCCACGCTGAACCCGCACTGGAACGAGTCCTTCTCTTTGTACGTCACTTTCTCATTGGTATCTACAGATTGGGGGAGGGGTGTACTGATCCGATTCCGGGGACGAGTGGTGATCCGATACCGGGGACGGGTGGTGATCCGATACCGGGGACGGGTGGTGATCCGATACCGGGGACGGGTGCTGATCCGGTTCCGGGGACGGGTGCTGATCCGATTCCGGGAACGGGTGGTGATCCGATTCCGGGGAGGGGTGGTGATCCGATTCCGGGGAGGGGTGGTGATCCGATTCCAGGGAGGGGTGGTGATCCGATTCCAGGAGGGGGTGGTGATCCGATTCCGGGACGGGTGGTGATCCGATTCCGTGGACGGGTGGTGATCCGATTCCGGGGACGGGTGCTGATCCGATTCCAGGAACGGGTGGTGATCCGATTCTGGGGACGGGTGGTGATCCGATTCTGGGACGGGTGGTGATCCGATTCCGGGGACGGGTGGTGATCCGATTCCAGGGGACGGGTGCTGATCCGATTCCGGGGAGAGGTGGTGATCCGATTCTGGGGACGGGTGCTGATCCGATTCCGGGGACGGTGCTGATCCGATTCCGGGGACGGGTGCTGATCCGATTTCCGGAACGGGTGCTGATCCGATTTCCGGGGACGGTGCTGATCCGATTTCCGGGGACGGGTGCTGATCCGATTTCCGGGGACGGGTGCTGATCCGATTTCCGGGGACGGGTGCTGATCCGATTTCCGGGGACGGGTGCTGATCCGATTCCGGGGACGGGTGGTGATCCGATTCCGGGGACGGGTGGTGATCCGATTCTGGGAAGGGTGGTGATCCGATTCCGGGGACGGGTGTGATCCGATTCCGGGGACGGGTGGTGATCCGATTCCGGGGACGGGTGCAGTAGCAGGGTTCAGAGGGTCCATGAGAATGTTGAAGACTTATGAATGACTAGTGCTGAGCCAGAGGTGAAGAGATGTTTGGTCTGGTGACAGAAGAAGCTGCAGTAGATCCACCAGTACGCAATGGGCTGCTGTGCTAAAAATCTGAAAAATGAACTGTCTGTGCTTCCTGTAGCTGCTAGTCACTCATCCGTTCTTAGAGTTGGGTCAGTTGGGAATGGAGAGCACCACTAGGACAGGTGTACGATGAGGAGCCTAACTAGGATAGGTGTTCGGTTCTTTGGGTTTGGTATCAGGACAGAGACTTGCTCAGTAGGAACATGCAGCGGTGTATTTACCGCGAGGCAAACAAGGCATTTGCTTAGGGCGGAAATTTTTAGGGGATCAGCACCACCCCCTGGAAGAAGGGACCTGGTGAGCAGCAGCAGAACTGAGCCATGCAGGGTACTCCTGTAGGTGGCCCCGGACAGCAGGAGGATTGGTGTGCTGGGGGAAGGCAGTTGCAGAACGATGTGTATCTCTCCCTCCAGCAGCTGAAAGCCGGTTTCTCCCCCTCTCCCTTCTGCTGGCTTTCTGCTGCTGGAGGGGGGGAGACATACCTGGCCAGATCAAGGGGGTTCTCTTGTGTTCCTGAGTAGCCGTTAAGCTCCTTCCCCCGCCAGCTCTCAGAACTCGGACCCAGAGGAAAGCCTGGAGCAGGGAGAGGAAAGAGCCGGGAGGAGGTGAGCTGTGTTGTGGTCTCTGGGCTGTCCCCCTGTCGTCCATGCTGCCCAGAGACGAGCAGCACTTGGAGGAGATAGGGGGTGGTAATCATACAGTGTGTGTACAGTCCCATACGATCTATGATCAGTGATCCTGTCTCTTGTGCAGCATGGATGACAGGAGGGAGAGCCCAGAGAACACAACACAGCCTGCACCTCCTCCCGGCTTTCTCCTCTCCACTTTTTCTAAGAAGTGTAATGGGAATTTTGGGGTATTTGCTAGGTGGAATGGGAGGGATATGTGCTAGTAGGGGGGAAGAGAGGGAGCGAGAGAGGGAGGGGGGGGAGGAGAGAAAGGAGGGAGAGAGCGCAAGAGAGGAGGGGGGGGGAGAAGAGGGTACGGGGGGGGGGAGAGAGAGAGGGAGAACAAGAGGGGGGGGGGGGGAGAGAGAGAAAAGGAGGGAGGGGGGAGAGGGAGAGAGAGAACGAGAGGGGGGGGGAGAGAGAAAGGGACAGGGGAGGACGGGATATGTGGGGAGAGAGAAAGGGAGGGAGGGGGGGGGGGGGGGAGATGGAGAGAGAGGGGGGGGGGGAGAGAGGGGAGGAGATGGAGAGGGGGGGGAGAGAGAGAAAGGGACGGGGGGGAGAGAGGGAGGGAGAATCATATACACACTCATTGAACTCTCGCTCTCTCATTGGGGGGCGCACAATTCTTGTGTTGCCTAGGGCAGCACAACACCTAAATACCCCATTGGGAACATGCAGCCACAGACTTGGCTAGTTAGATCGCTGTGTAGGAAGGGTGAGGATCCGCATACATCGGTCACTGGAGGGAGCTGTGATAGAGGGAAGGGATGTCTCCTGGCTGCCAGTCCGATGATTGGCTGGAATGAGATGAAGATATCGGAGAATGTCTCTCTGGAGCCGACTTCGCAGTAATGTGGCCTCTCACCTTCTTCTTCCAGCAAACTCAAACCGTCAGATAAGGACCGGCGCCTCTCCATCGAGATCTGGGACTGGGACAGAACTACCAGGAACGATTTCATGGGCTCCTTCTCATTCGGGGTGTCAGAACTCATGAAAATGCCGGCGTGTGGCTGGTGAGTACAGATCCAGGAAGATGATTGGCTGATTTGCGAGGCGGCCCGGATGGCGGCCATGTTTTATCATTCAGCGGCTGCATGGAGGATGGAATCCTATGTGGGGACCTGCAGTCAGTGGAAGGACAGCTCTGGGAACAAGACGTGGCTCTGACAATATTGTCACATACGATTCGTTTAGCAACAACTTACAAGTCCAGATACGTTTTCATTATTCAGAGATCTGTCTGAATTTCTGAATCACAATAGTAACGAATGATAATAAAACGAATTATCCGACTTCAAAAATTGATTCAAAATAAGTTTGAATGTTAAAATGAGTTCAAATTCAAAATGGAAACATTTTGTAATCAATGCAGTAAAGTATAAACGGGAAATAAGATAATTCCTACTTACGCTGCTGAATAGAATAGGATAGAATGGAAGAGAATAGAAAATACATAGAATGGAATAGAATAACATAGAATAGAACATAAAGGGATAGCATATAAAAATAATAGATTAAAATGGAATAGAATAGAAAAGAAATAGAATGAAATAAAACAGAAAATATAGGAATGGAATAGAAAAAAATAGAATCGAAAATAAAGGAATAGAATATAAAATAATAGAATAAAATGGAATAGAAAAGAAATAGAATAGAAAATAAAGGAATGAAATAGAATCAAAAATAAACAAATAGAATAGTATAAAATAGAATTGAAAAAATAAATGGAATACAAAAGAAAAGAATGAAATGGAATAGAATAGACAATAAAAAAATAAAATAAAAATAAAATAAAAAAAAAAAATATAAAAAAAGAATAGAATACAAAAAAAAAAGTAGAATAGAAAATATTGAATAGATTAGAATAGAAAAATTGTCAAATAAAATAACCGTCTTCCAAAATTAGATTTTCAGATATCGAATTTATTTGAAAATAATGAATATATGAAACGAATTCTGAAATCGAATAATATTGTCCAAAAACAAATCATTCTATTCTATGTTATTTTTTTTTCTTTTCTATTCTATTTCATTCTTTTTTTTATTTAGTCTATTCTATTCTTTTATAGTCTTTTTTTTCTTTTTTGTTCTCTAAAGCAGCCTAAGTAGGAGTCCTCATCGTATCTCACGTCTGCACCTCACTGTATTTATCTCATTATGTTTTTTTTCAAATTCGTTTTTTGATTTTTGGATAATTTGTTTTTTTTCGGACTCCTTGAAATTCGTTATTATTGTGATTCAGAAATTCGGATTCTTCCGACAAATTTGTCCAAATTTCGATTTGTAATGAAATTGCAAAAAAAATTTCCACTTGGCGAGCCGCAGTTTTTTGAAAAAACGCCCACATTGTGTCTGGGGAGGAAGGAAGGACCCCGAATAATGGGGCCCCTTGGACTTCAGTGACACCTGAAATGATAGTTTGTAGATTTGTCTTGTCTGGTGTATTTTTTTTTTTTTTAAAATCGGCTCATCCATGGTATTTCCATCACCCCGCTCAGGTACAAAAAAAAAAAAAGAACCAGGAGGAGGGGGAGTATTACAAATGTGCCCATCCCGGAGGCCGAGACGGGAACCTGGAACTGCGGCAGAAGTTTGAGGTAGGAGTCTGCGCGTTGTACGCCCTGCGCCCCCCCCCCCCCCCCACAGAGCGATTTCTATATCCATCATTTTTTTCACCAGGTGAAATGTTCCATCCAACTCTTCATATGTCCTCCAGTCTGTAGTAGTGGAGTCCATGGAGAGACGCCGTATGGACGGGGTGTTGTATCTCACACATAGGCCGCCACGCTGTACAACCTGCGCTCTCTCACTTCTGATGGTTTAATGTCTCTTAGTACAGCTCTCCGGTGTCATGGAGGGAAAGGGTTCTCCTGAGGATGAAGGGAAAGATCGTCACACATCACTACATACAAACCAGAGCCGGGCTAAACAAAGCGCCAACTTACTGTCCTTCCGGGGAGCTTTTTGTGACCAGAAAAAAAGCAGTCCTAACATTAGTGCAAATAAACAATGCCCCATTTTTTTTGGGAGGAAAAAAATAAAAAGTGCCCCATCATTTTTTGTCAGTGGAGGAATAGTGCCCCATCATTGGTGTCAGTGGGAGAAACATTGTCCCATCATTGGTGTCAGTGGGAGGAACAGTGTCCCATTTTTTTTGTCAGTGGGAGGAGTTTTTTTTTTTCATTGGTGTCAGTGGAAGGAATAGTGCCCCATTTTTGGTGTCAGTGGGAGGAATAGTGCCCCGTCATTGGTGGGGTTTTTTTAGGAATAGTGTTTTTTTTGGTTTTTTTTTTTTTTTTTAGTGTCATTTTTTGTCAGTGGGAGGAATAGTGCCCCGTCATTGGTGTCAGTGCGAGGAATAGTGCCCCGTCATTGGTATTTTTTTGGGGGGAATAGTGCCCCGTTTTTTTTGGTGTCAGTGGGAGGAATAGTGCCCCGTCATTTATCAGAGGGAGGATTATTGGCCCCCATTGGTGTTTTTCAGGAGGAATAGTGCCCCATCATTTTTTTGGTGTAATTTTAATAGTGCCCCATCATTGTGTGTCAGTGGGAGGAATAGTGCCCCATCATTGGTGTCAGTGGGAAAATTTGTCCCATCTTTGTGTTTTTTTTTTAATGCCCCATCATTGGGGTCAGTGGGATGAATAGTGTCCCATCATTGGTGTCAGTGGGAGGAATAATTTTTTTTTGGTGTTTTTTTTTTTGGGATGAATAGTGTCCCATCATTTGGTGTCAGTGGGAGGGATAATTTTTGCCCCATCATTTTTTGTCAGGGAGGAAAGTTGTCCCATCATTGGTGTCAGTGGGAGGAATAGTGCCCCATTGGTTTCAGTTTTTTTTTTTGCCCCATCATTGGTGTCAGTAGGAGGAATTGTGTCCTTTCATTGGTGTCAGTTTTGAGGAATTGTGTCCAATCATTGGTGGGTTTTGGAGGAATTTGTCCTTTCATTGGTGTCAGTGGGAGGAATTGTGTCCTTTCATTGGTGTCATTTTTGGGAATTGTGTCCTTTTTTTGGTGTCAGTTGGAGGAATAGTGCCCCATTTTTTGGTGTCAGTGGGAGGAATAGTGCCCCATTTTGGTGTCAGTGGAGGAGAATTTTCTTTTTCATTGGGGTTTTGAGAGGAATTTTTTTGTCCATTCATTGGTTTTCAGTGGGAGGAATTGTGTCCCATCATTGGTGTCAGTGGGGAATTTTGTCCCATCATTGGTGTCATTGGACCCCATCATTACTGTCATTAGGAGGAATTGTGCCCTTTCATTGGTGTTTTTGGGTTTTTTTTTTGTTGGTGTCATTTGGATTTTTTTTGCTCCATTTTTTGGTGTTTTTCAATTATTATGGTGTCATGTCTCAATGTTTTCAGTGGAGGAAGTTGCCCCTGGGCCAGATAAAAGCAAGGACTTTTTTTGCAGTTTTGGAGTTTGGATTTTTTTTTCTGAGGGAAGCTGTGTTCTGGGAATTTTTTTTTTTTGATCCAGTTTTTTAATGCTGAGAGGTGCAGGAATTCCTTTTGCTGCCTCTTGGACTGCGGTTTTGACACCGTCACACTGTCATGAAACGTTTTTTTTTTCCAGGAGAATGATGTACAATAGTCTGTGGCTCTACAACATTGCCCTTTTTATACGGTGACTTTTTTTTTTTTTTGTTTGTTTTCGGTGATTGTCAGTTGATGGTTTGACGGTGTCAGTGATTGTAACATCTCTATATATACCCAGTACAGGCCTGCTCTGCATTACCCAGCACTGTCCACTAGATGTTTTTAGCTCTCCTCCTCTCACTGCTGGCCATACACACCGGGATTTTTTTGGGCAATCAGCGGCTGCTTTTGCTCCTGAATGATAGAAACCGATCTCGGAAAACAGATTTTTTTTTTTTTTTTATACTTCTGTGGTGGCCTCAATCACTTCCCCGATCCAATTGGGTTTTTTCATTGGAATTTTTTTTTTTTGATCGCTTTTTTTCGTTTTTTTTTTTTTTTTTTGTTTTTTTTTTTTTTTTTTTTTTTTTTTTACCATCGAACAAATGTGTGTTTTTTTTTCCCCGCAAAAGGGCGCTGAGCTTTTACCTGGCTGTCAGGTTTGCTGTTTTTTTATAGTTTTTTTTTGGAGCCGATCAATAAAGTTACCCTTTTTTTTTGTACCCACCTGCTCCCCTCCTCCACATTTTTTTTTTTTTTTTTTTTTTTTTTGCTGTTTTTTTTTTTTTTTTTTTTTTGTTTTTTTTTTTTTTTTTTTTTTTTTTTTTTTTTTTTTTTTTTTTTTTTTTTTTTTTTTTTTTTTTTTTTTTTTTTTTTTTTTTTTTTTTTTTTTTTTTTTTTTTTTTTTTTTTTTTTTTTTTTTTTTTTTTTTTTTTTTTTTTTTTTTTTTTTTTTTTTTTTTTTTTTTTTTTTTTTTTTTTTTTTTTTTTTTTTTTTTTTTTTTTTTTTTTTTTTTTTTTTTTTTTTTTTTTTTTTTTTTTTTTTTTTTTTTTTTTTTTTTTTTTTTTTTTTTTTTTTTTTTTTTTTTTTTTTTTTTTTTTTTTTTTTTTTTTTTTTTTTTTTTTTTTTTTTTTTTTTTTTTTTTTTTTTTTTTTTTTTTTTTTTTTTTTTTTTTTTTTTTTTTTTTTTTTTTTTTTTTTTTTTTTTTTTTTTTTTTTTTTTTTTTTTTTTTTTTTTTTTTTTTTTTTTTTTTTTTTTTTTTTTTTTTTTTTTTTTTTTTTTTTTTTTTTTTTTTTTTTTTTTTTTTTTTTTTTTTTTTTTTTTTTTTTTTTTTTTTTTTTTTTTTTTTTTTTTTTTTTTTTTTTTTTTTTTTTTTTTTTTTTTTTTTTTTTTTTTTTTTTTTTTTTTTTTTTTTTTTTTTTTTTTTTTTTTTTTTTTTTTTTTTTTTTTTTTTTTTTTTTTTTTTTTTTTTTTTTTTTTTTTTTTTTTTTTTTTTTTTTTTTTTTTTTTTTTTTTTTTTTTTTTTTTTTTTTTTTTTTTTTTTTTTTTTTTTTTTTTTTTTTTTTTTTTTTTTTTTTTTTTTTTTTTTTTTTTTTTTTTTTTTTTTTTTTTTTTTTTTTTTTTTTTTTTTTTTTTTTTTTTTTTTTTTTTTTTTTTTTTTTTTTTTTTTTTTTTTTTTTTTTTTTTTTTTTTTTTTTTTTTTTTTTTTTTTTTTTTTTTTTTTTTTTTTTTTTTTTTTTTTTTTTTTTTTTTTTTTTTTTTTTTTTTTTTTTTTTTTTTTTTTTTTTTTTTTTTTTTTTTTTTTTTTTTTTTTTTTTTTTTTTTTTTTTTTTTTTTTTTTTTTTTTTTTTTTTTTTTTTTTTTTTTTTTTTTTTTTTTTTTTTTTTTTTTTTTTTTTTTTTTTTTTTTTTTTTTTTTTTTTTTTTTTTTTTTTTTTTTTTTTTTTTTTTTTTTTTTTTTTTTTTTTTTTTTTTTTTTTTTTTTTTTTTTTTTTTTTTTTTTTTTTTTTTTTTTTTTTTTTTTTTTTTTTTTTTTTTTTTTTTTTTTTTTTTTTTTTTTTTTTTTTTTTTTTTTTTTTTTTTTTTTTTTTTTTTTTTTTTTTTTTTTTTTTTTTTTTTTTTTTTTTTTTTTTTTTTTTTTTTTTTTTTTTTTTTTTTTTTTTTTTTTTTTTTTTTTTTTTTTTTTTTTTTTTTTTTTTTTTTTTTTTTTTTTTTTTTTTTTTTTTTTTTTTTTTTTTTTTTTTTTTTTTTTTTTTTTTTTTTTTTTTTTTTTTTTTTTTTTTTTTTTTTTTTTTTTTTTTTTTTTTTTTTTTTTTTTTTTTTTTTTTTTTTTTTTTTTTTTTTTTTTTTTTTTTTTTTTTTTTTTTTTTTTTTTTTTTTTTTTTTTTTTTTTTTTTTTTTTTTTTTTTTTTTTTTTTTTTTTTTTTTTTTTTTTTTTTTTTTTTTTTTTTTTTTTTTTTTTTTTTTTTTTTTTTTTTTTTTTTTTTTTTTTTTTTTTTTTTTTTTTTTTTTTTTTTTTTTTTTTTTTTTTTTTTTTTTTTTTTTTTTTTTTTTTTTTTTTTTTTTTTTTTTTTTTTTTTTTTTTTTTTTTTTTTTTTTTTTTTTTTTTTTTTTTTTTTTTTTTTTTTTTTTTTTTTTTTTTTTTTTTTTTTTTTTTTTTTTTTTTTTTTTTTTTTTTTTTTTTTTTTTTTTTTTTTTTTTTTTTTTTTTTTTTTTTTTTTTTTTTTTTTTTTTTTTTTTTTTTTTTTTTTTTTTTTTTTTTTTTTTTTTTTTTTTTTTTTTTTTTTTTTTTTTTTTTTTTTTTTTTTTTTTTTTTTTTTTTTTTTTTTTTTTTTTTTTTTTTTTTTTTTTTTTTTTTTTTTTTTTTTTTTTTTTTTTTTTTTTTTTTTTTTTTTTTTTTTTTTTTTTTTTTTTTTTTTTTTTTTTTTTTTTTTTTTTTTTTTTTTTTTTTTTTTTTTTTTTTTTTTTTTTTTTTTTTTTTTTTTTTTTTTTTTTTTTTTTTTTTTTTTTTTTTTTTTTTTTTTTTTTTTTTTTTTTTTTTTTTTTTTTTTTTTTTTTTTTTTTTTTTTTTTTTTTTTTTTTTTTTTTTTTTTTTTTTTTTTTTTTTTTTTTTTTTTTTTTTTTTTTTTTTTTTTTTTTTTTTTTTTTTTTTTTTTTTTTTTTTTTTTTTTTTTTTTTTTTTT